ATATCGTACATTAAGAGAGCAGTTTGGTGGTGGGACTGTGTAAACTTTCCAGCCCAGCCGGCAGAATGTTTGAACTTTACATTTCCACAAACCACGGCTATGCTATGGTTGTATGTGTCATACATATCATATCAACATTTCAAAAAGTCACATAGTTCAGATAACATGTTTTTAAGATGAGTTGCTCATCAGGAGGAGGAGGAGGGCATGGTGTATATTGTGACAACTAGGCGAGACAACTGCCAAGCAGCAGACAGCAGCAGATTTTTGAGACCAACAAAAGTATGTATTTTTTAACGAGAGCTTGGGACGTTACTAGCTGTATTTGTGGCAACAACAGTGGATATTCTGATAAGCCAAAACATGATTTTTCCTGACCCTAACCGAGCAACATATCCTCATACAATTGTTTGTATGATACCTAACAAATTAGCACCATGCGATGACATTACATACTTAATGTAAAGTTACGTGGGTTAGGTTTAGACAAGTAACGTTACATATTTTAGGTTTAGAAAAAGAAGTGTAGTGACAGCATACCTTAGAACAGTGGTTCCCAACTGGTGGGTCGCAGTCCAAAAGTGGGTCGCTGGCCCATTCTGAATGGATCGCAAGTGACTCGCAAATGTGTCAAGTTTTTTAAAAAAAACACACCTTATTTTTAAGTACAGTAAACTTCCAGCACAGGACTTTGAAATGCCGTTTTTTGCTGTAGAGTGAGTGACTAACTGACAGCTACTTGACAGAGACAGCAAACTAGCTTGATGACATGGCCAAACACAAGTATGACACTGAATGTACTACTCTGTAGGACCATGAACTAGTGACTAAGGAGAAATCTGGACCCAGTGGATGGACATATTGGGAACTACTGCCTTAGAATAAATCAGCATTCACTTTGTTTCACACTGGGAATGATCCCCAGTCATTTGGGGGAAAGTCGTGTGTTTGTTTGACCCATCCACCACCCCAGGGAGCCACATTAGGCAGACTTTTGCTCCTCATACTATTTACTTTTTTACTCCTGTCAGGACATTGGTCAAATGATCGCAGCCTTCTGGACATAAATTACAGGCTCATGATTATGTGTGTTCTATATATGAATTGTAGTGCATTACTCTTTGTAGGTTAACATATAAACTGTGCCTGAGAACAAAGTGGGTTTCGTACCTAAACCTAAAGTTTTAACATATCCCTCAAATATGAAACCTACAAATTGCATATATGGATTACACTTTGGGTTATTGATTGTAGATAAGATGTACAAACATTGACTAAACCACCTAATCAATAAAGCATAAAAGAGGTTTAAAATAGCCCAGCACAGGAGAATCCCTGTAGCCTGCTTTGGTATTAGGATCATATGCAAAACTCCATAATTTTTGTCAATCACAGTATTTAATAAATCAGTCTTTTTGCACTCTTTTTAATGAGTGTATTGTATTGTCATGATTTTTATGACTATTGTTGTATTCCAGCTGATCAAATCTACAGTAGCACAGGTTCTAGTGGCCACAGAGACGGAGGGTGAGCGTCCAGGCTGGAGTTGTTTGGGTTGTGGCGCAGTGTGTCTAATTGAGGACACGTTCATTCACAGCCACTTCCTGCGTCTGTACTGTGTCAAGGTAAGAGGAACTGCAGAACTGATAAAAGATACTCTACCCACGCACATCTATTAACTCATCTACTTCCCACAAAGAACTGACATTTTAGCTTTATTTTGTGTGTGCGTGTACAGTTGCATGTGTGGAACTGCTTGTTTTCTTGTGATCTGCAGTTTCCTTTAGTAACAATATTTTGAAGGGTGTGGCTAAATGTGTCCTTATGTACCCTTTCCTTTAAACACAGCGTGCCAAATTACTGTGGGAGCAGGAGCTCTACGTCCCATTCCAGTACGCTGCAACTTGCACGTTCTTCCACACCTTCCCTGCAGATGTGAGCGATCCTTTTTTGAAGTGTGATGCAACATGCCTGTCAGAGTACTAGTTCTGTGTTGGTTTAAGGCTGATTTATGTGTTGGCACAGGGCCACCAAGTTGGACTCAACTTTGCAAATGAGGCTGAGGCAGGGGAATTTCATCTGGCAGTGGAGGCTGTCCAGAGAAATCAAGGTCAGAATTACAACAAAAAGATGATATCACTCATCAGTGACCACATATCAAATGTGTTTGCACTTTCACATGAAAGCACCTCTGTCAGTTCTCATTTGTCTCTTGTTCCCTCTCATTTCATTTCTTCTGTTGTGCAGAAAAGATGACCATGATGACTGAAATAGCAGTGACTGAAAACAAATCAACAAGTGATCCACCTGATTCAGGGTGACAAAAATGTTATGATTTGACATAAAGAGGAAAAGAGAGCAGAGGATTAAAGTGATGGCTCTCCTTTTGTTTTTGTAGAACTGAGCCACTAGAGCAGTTGGACGAGGAGCCACAATCCCCCGTGGACGAACCATCCATAGCAGTTACTGCACCCTCCAGTTCAGTAAGTCAGATCATACAGTGAAACGTTAATAGTTTACATGAGCCAAATAGACCCTCAGAATAGACTTGGGTGGTATCTATTTTTTCATATTCATACCTCCCTGACATTTCATCGGGTTTATCAGATACGACGCTATTTGTGTAAAAAAAATATATAGAAGCTGAACTGCTGGTGACATAAGTCATTGCAGCATGTGTATCTTTGTCTAGCCTAAAATGCTTTGATTTCAAAAGGCAATCAGCCTGCTTAGACCAGTCTTGCTGGGTTTAAAGTTATGGCCCATGGGATAATGAATAAATAGGAAATAAGTGCACTGGAGGACCTGATGACACTTGTTGTTGTAACAAATACAGACACATCAGTGGTCTGTAGGGCTGCCCTGACTAAGAATTTTCCTAGTCGACTACCTAGGGCCATTAGTCGACTACTCATCTGCATGTTTACAATAATGATTAAATTATCAAATTATATATTTTAGGCAAGGCAACACAAATCTCAGAAAGTGTGTACAGAGACGAGGTAACTGGAAGTCCATTCATTCCTATGGGAATCTCCATGATAGCCGATGTGCCTGCGAAACTCCTCCCCTTTGTAATATTTCAATCCTGAATTTGCCTTAAGTACATAAAAAAATTGAACTTTTGCGGTGGATTTCAAAGAGACAGTATGACAATGTGCTAGCTTAGCTAACAGGCTGCTAACTGGCTAACAGGCTATTTTCTTCCCTGGTAATGTTCCAAGCGCATGGAACCCCAGACCCTAGCGGTCTGAACAAAGATAATGGGTTGAATGAAATCTTGTGGCTAAAAAACAGTTTTTGTAGTTGAAAGAAATCGTCTCAAGAAAAAGTTATGTGCGGCAAAACTTCCAAATGGGGCAGAGGAGTGTTCTTCTCCTTTTTCTCTCCCGTGACTTCATCCCCACTGCTCACAGTCGCCATTTTTCTCAGCTCAGCAGCCTGTTCCACCAGCAGAGACTGACCTCTGGTGGTGTATGTTGTGCACAACATTACCTCAATACAGCATTTCCATATCTCTTTGCAGTAATAGAAAAAGGAGCATCTGTATTCTTGATGGTACTGAAAACCATACCTTCGAGATTTCTAAATACCACAGTATACCTTTACACCACCCGAGCCAAACTGAAACAGAAAGAAAATTCATCTTGTGACACTCTTAATTTCTAATTCAACACCATGCTAAATCAGTCCATTTCCTGCTGTATCTGTTTGGAGAACTTTAAGGATCTGGATCCCGCAATGAAGAGGCTATTGATTCGGGCGAGACTCACTGAGGAAGACCTGAAAGACAAAGATGTAGCCGAAGCTGTCGACTGCATCATCAACCGATTTGGAGGACTAAAGGCTGTACAGAGAGAGCTGAAGAACAGAGGTGTTTTATCCTGATACATCGTGAAGTATATACTCCTTTTATGCTTTTTTTAATGTTTAAGTTAATTCTAAGTTTATGTTATGCCTCTTAATGCTTTACTTGACAGGTCCAATGTCTCAGACATTGCCGAGAGCTACAGGAGCATCCATCTCCCTCGCTCTGAAGAAAGGGCCCTTGCCACCAGTTCCTTCCATCAAAGGCAGCACCACCTCCCAGCAGACACCACAGTGCACAGACACACAAAACCAAAGCCAGATTCCCTCTTGGATTCCTCCTCCTCCATCTACTCCTGCTCCAGGTCTCCCAGAGCGGCTCAGAAAGAGTGCGAGTTTCAAACATGTAAGAGGACCAGGATACATGCTGTTACAGTTCTGTGGATTTGAATATGTAAAATGTGAGGTCTGAATGACCTTAACTTTCCTTTTTGTGGTATCAGGTGGGCTCCCCAGCAGCTGCAGGAAGAGGTGACCCCATCCTGACTGCACTGACAGAACTGTTCAGACAGAAGCAGCTGCTTCAGGGAGGCACAAGTGCAGATGGGCGTCAACTGAAGCCAGACACTAAGAGTGACGAGCAGTTTTAAAGTAACTCAGGTTTTAACTGTGCTGTGTATGATATACTTATTAAACACGTGATACAGCTGAGATGCTGCTTATTGTCTTTTATTTTTGTACAAGGCCACAGCCGCATTAAACTGTTATGAGGCCCTCATGCTGCGCCTCACATATCGATGACTGTTCATACTGTCACCAAGGACACTTCTCTTTATGTCACTGTGTGTGTGTAAATCTTTATTTACTCAATTACAACCTACCATATTTATATTAGCCCGAGAAACAGACAAAGAGTATATGCCGCTCACTACCTTGGTCAGCAAATACACACAAGAAATAAGTTAATCACAAAACACTGTTGATCACAAAGCTAAAACATAGACTACAAGATTAAAAACTATATGTGGAATAGTATAAAAAAGACTAAATAAATAACAGTATCCAAAAATATCTAAAGACTTATAGACTAATAAAGTTATGTAAAAGCAAACAAAGAACATGACCTTTGAAATCTTATTAAGATAGACAGCAGATAAAGAGCTCTGTATATGGATATTTATGTTACTGGGAGGCAGAGTACAGATGTCCTGAAGCCAGTAATAAAAATGAATTACCTAAGATGTGCTCACGTATTGGTTCAGTACAGTATGTTTATTTATTTCTTAGTTATTCATGTCACAACAGAGTTCAAATCCTACTTGAATAATTTTGGAAAGATCTGTACTACAGATACTGCTCAAGTTGTTTCCGCTCCTCACTGAGGGACTGTTCATTACTTATGAGGGGGTGGTGCAAAATGGGGGAGGCATGTTAAAGTCGTTTTTAAGAACTGGAAAGAGATGTGTTTTTTTATTTTGGGTTGAGGGAAGGACACAAAACTTTAAATAGTTGTATTTTATATTGATTCAAGCACCATCTGAACCCCAAAACCCGCCGACAGCTTTCCTTTAAAAGTAGCCAAAATCACACCATTTATCTTAGACAGAAACTAATAAAAACTGTGAACACATCATGTGCGATGAGTGCATCACGGAAACGTAGTCAAATCTCAGCTTAAAACAGGGATAATTCATTGAAATCAGTTTATTCTACTCATTTGAAATGTTGTAACCCTGTTGCACTGACCAGATCCTGTAAAAAAGAAAAAAAAAAGATGAAGCTCTGCACTCTTGCATACATGACAGTCATGAAAATTTATTCCAGCTGCTGCTGCCACTGTTGTGTACAGTTTATTTAGGGGAATGGTCATTATGCTGGCTGTGTGCACTGTGATGCGTGTGTGTACGTGCGGGAGTGTGTGTGATATCATGTGAACTTACTTAATTGTGCTGTGGTAGGACGGATGGCTGTCCTATTCTCTTGAAGTGTACACACAGCTTGTGTAATGGTGTGATTTGTATGAAGGATCTGCATCTTGCTTAAGAAATACTGTTTGTTTCTGTCATAACTCTGACTCCTGTGCTGTTTGCTCACTGCACTGGCTCCAATACCAACATTTGGTGTAAAAAAAATGGTTAGGGTCTATTTATAATGGTGGGAAGCTCATATGTTTTCCCCCAGTCACTCGGGGAGGCTCAAGAATAAATATTTGTGGCCTCAGGCACGTGAAGATAAAAAAAAAAAAAAAAAAAAAGTCACATACCAGCCACCCCCTCCTCTAAATAAAGAACAGTTCCTTATAGAATTGGACATGCAAATACAAGAAAATGTTAAACGATAAAAGAGTAATTTAAGATTTGAGAATCGTGAGCACAATATAAACTGAGATAATAAAACCATCATATCTACATTTTGACACATTACCCCCCTACATGGCAGGGCATGAAGATTATTTGTTAACCCATCTTGGCTGATACTGTATTTTCTATCAAAAATAAAATTAGTGATAGTACCAATAACCAAGCTGAGGCTCCTGGGGGCCATTTATATTCTGGGGTCCAGGGCCAGCTGCATGCACTGACTGTAGGTACATGTGTGACTCATTGTGGTTCACACACAAAAAGAGCTCCAAACGTGCGTAGACAGGGGTGGAGGTAAAAATGGAGCTACGTGTGTACAACCAAACAATAAAAAGTGCATGTGCGCGCGCGCTTGGACGTGACCATGAGCGCGCGCCTCTCTGAGCGCTCACTCACTTCATTCATTTCTGCCTGTGCGGCTGTAGGGACTCACTGTGCTCAGCACGCTGGGAACAAGACGCTTTAACCCGGGACCATGAGGGGCTCTTGCCGCCCGAGACACACGCGGGACAGGGCAGGTAAGCTGCTAACCCACTTTTCTTTTTCTTACATTTAATTTCCACCACTCTTTAGAGGCGACATTGTGAGCAGAGCAGTGTGCTCCAGAGCAGCTGGGCTAGCGAGCGGATGAAGTAAACAAGCCTGTGTCACGTAGGCATGCTTCAGAGCTGACAGGGCTTCCCACCAAGGAGGAGAGGCGGGACACACTGCGGCACACAGCCGTGACATTTGGGAAACACTGGGTACTTCAGCTGTCACGTAGCAAAGAAATAGTTTGCAAATGCTCAAAGCAAATGCTTTGGTAGCTAGCATCTCTCTGTATGCTGCTGCTGCTGCTGCTGGTTAGCTCGGCTGTGAGGTAGCTGCTGCTGGACTGACAGGATGTAAACACCACTGTTTGTTGCTCTAAGCTCTCCAAACATCGTGTCTCTCATTATGATGTTGTGTCAAAGACCCCCCAGACAGATCTGAGAGATAAAGTATGGACTCAGGAATGTTCCAGAAATGGTTGTTATCATGGGTCTGCACATACTACACAGAGCCAATGTTGAGGAAGTAGTTTGTGAGTGTGCTGTCATCTCTGCATACCCTGACCTTCAGGCTCATTTGCCCTATTTCCCCTGGTGCTCCTGCAGGTCTGCAACATTATCCTCGGGCATCACACATGAAGGAGCTCCCCATATGGCTCACACTATCTCTGTTAATAAAATACCACAAGGGAAACTCTTGCTTTTAAATGTTGCATTTCATTATTGTTGTAGTGATTCTTGTTGCCGCTGAAGATGGATTTTAACTGTAAGTAGCATCAGTGGAGACAGATGGAGAAGAGATTTCAGTCTTAATTTGGTGTACCGAGTGCTGGCTTGCGTCAGAGGCATCTGAGTGTTGCTCTAAATGTTTCAGTCTGAACCTCGGTGTGTTTACTTTAGCATGAAACCAGCCTGTTATATTACTGCTGAGGTTCCTCTTCACAATGCTACACATACTACAAGAGATTATGTGCATATGAATGGCATCTGAATCAGAGCTAATACTATGCCCCATATAATCCTGTGACTCACTTATTATAAGAATAGGCAATTGTGTAACTGTGTCTGTGGTGGAGCCTGGAGGGTTTGTTAAACACTGTGTTACTGTGCTGTCATGTTGACAAACGCCATGCACCGAGGACAAACTCCAACAAGGCTTCTGATGGACTTCGAGAGAGGGATTCACTGCCGTTCTTGTACGAATATGGTCACGGTGGTTGAAATGTCTGCAGCCTGAGCTGTTGTGGCAGATGCTTGAGGGATGAACAGGGCTCAGGCTGGGTTGCTGTGTAGGAGATGTGCTCTGCTGGCTTGACCGTGTGCCAGCACACTGAGAGGTGGGGCTTAGCAGGAAAACAGGACAAACATGCTAGAAAGTTGCATACTTGTATATTTGTGGAGACTGGTACAGTTATTTTAAGAACAAATGCAAACAGCTACTTTGGATTTTGGATATTTGGTGTGGTGATAACACTAACAGAGAAGTAAATATGATGTGAAGAAGACACTGGTTGAGAAAGCTTTGAGTCAGCTTTGTCTCGAGTGTGTGCAAACAGCCCGTATGTCTTTGTAGACAGAGAGAAATATGCTCCAGTGGGTGCAGCAGAGCAACACAGATTATATCCTACATGCATACACAGGGGCTTCATACCCAACAGGATATTTCTCTTAGCCTCACATGCTGTTAGCGGCAGTAAATACACCTCCTCCACCCTCTGTTTCCACCCCTCTATTACACTTAACAATCCTTATTTCCTCTGTCTTTATTCCACCAGATCCCACTCTGAATATTCTCAATGTATCACCCCCTCTCATCCGTGCTCATCGACTCGCTTGCTGCCTGGCTCAGTCACTGCACCGCCCTCCCTCTCTGTGTCTGCTCTCTATCTAGGGGAAAGTTCACCCGCTCACTCAGAATCTCATTATAGGCTTCAGGCAGAGCTGCTGTAGCCTACATGTCCATGTGTGATGCCAGTGCAGTCGTTGTACGCCTGCGCGCTGCGCTCAGTGCACTGAGCTCGCTGGTGTTTTGCATCTGGGAGCATTCAAGCGCAAGGTTGTTTTGTGTTATTTTTGTATGGTTTTGCTCTCAAATGTCGCAACATGTTTCTGTGCAATGGAGACATTAATCTCGCTGGTTTAGACTCAGATGAAAACCGCCTGTGTTGTCGTCCTCTGTCGTCTGTAACACAAAAGGAACCCATACACAGATTCTGGATTACATTAGATACAAATAAATACAGAAAGGATTAGTCGATTAATCATAATTGTTTGACATAGAATTAATTACCAGCATGTTTTATAATCATGTAATCGTTTAAGTTATGCACAAAATGATGTGTTTGCAGCTTCTCCAGGTTGCTGTTTTTCTTACATGTCTTTGTTTTGGACTGTTGATTGGACCAAACCAGCAGTTTTAAGAGGTCACATTAAGTTCCTGGGGAATTTTTCACGATTTCCTTAGACTTACTCAAATCAGTGATGAATGAATTACTGGAAAAATCTCAGAGTCAATGATGAAAATACTCCTTTGTTGCAAATACAGATCAGCAAGCTGAAACAGAGGATAGAGATTGACCAGAAGTATGGTAACACCCCCTGTCCACATACTTTTATTCTGAGTCTGTTTTTACGGTTAAGGCTCGAACCCTTAGTTCTAGTTAACGGACATCTTGAGAGTAAAGCATTCAGTGATGTTTTAGGCATTAGTTTGCTTTAATCTTACTGCACAGGGCCACTGTCTTACCCAAACCATTGCAAAAACTAGGTCCATAAAGAAATGTTCTTCTAGGTTTGGTTCAGATGACGTTGAACAGTCCAGCACAGAGCCATGACCTCAGCCCCATCTAGCACCTTTAAAATGAGTTTAAATGCAGACTGCAAGCCAGGCCTTGTACTGCCCCACATTAGCGTCTGGCTCATCCCTGCAGGCACGTTCCAAAATACTGTAGGAAGCCTTCCCAAGAGGGAGGAGACTGTTATCAGATACTGGTGGAATGCTTTTAAGTTCAAAGGTCAGCAGAGACTCAAAAGAGGTCCTGAGCTTTTTAAACTAAAACAACTGGATGTGCTCTTTAGACTCAAGTAATGTTTTTATTTTGTTTCTCTGTTGCAAACATAATGGACTTGTGTGGACCAGGGTATTTAGAAATCTGACAGTATCATTATCAGTGCCGTCAAAAATACAGACGTTCCACTTTCTATTAAATTAAAGTCGTATGTAGTGCACATCCCGTGCCACCAGATGGCAGTCTCTACTGGTGTGACAGGCAGCTGAACTGACAGACAAGGTGGCTGCAAGTGGTGGGGATGACGTTATGTGGCTGTAAAGAGCTGCAGTGGTAGATAGTTTATTTTCACCAAACTGGGGTATAAGGTATATGGGAGCCTCTAATATTAGGCATGCATGATACTGGATTTTTTGCCGATATCCGATATATAACAACTCATTTGACTGATAACAGATACAGATATCAATACATCCACTTTTGCCTATGTAAGTGATGATCAAGTCTCTTCTGTAGTGGAATTAACATCATATTATGCATGCATACTCTCATTGTGATGGCTCACCAGCAGATGGAAACATGAAATACAGTACTTTTAAATGTATGTAATATTCATTCATTGTGCAGAATACGCAAAAGCATGTTGGCTGATCCCAATAGTTCATTTTACAGCCAATATTGGCCTATACTGTTGATGTGCCGATATTATCAGGAAGGTATGAGAAAATAGATACCGCCCAAGCCTAATACATGACATAATGGATACAGCAGTGCATATGATAGACTGCATAGTTAATACAAAATGTAGAAAAGTAAGTGTAAACACTTCATGTCAAAAGGAGTTTAACTCTGCATCAACTTGGTGCTAATCACGCTGTCAAACACTGAGCAGCAGCATGACTGTAGTAAACATTAATAAGAGAGATGGAGGAAACACAGCTGGTGCCCGTGTGTGAATACTGTGGGAAACAAATATTGACACTAGACTTTGTCTGCTGAAAAGGATCCACATGTTATTCAGCATTTCAGTGTGTTAGTTGGTACATTTCTCCTAAAAATGAAAAAATAAAGAGGAAAGAGAGAAAGTGGTCACATGCGTAAGAACTAACCTGCAGGGAAGTGACAAGACATTCATACATGCTGCAGTTTGGCTCTCAGCCTAATGTGATACACTCTTTGTAGCTGGTTATATATGTTACTTTACAAAACTATAAAGTCTTTGTTTGTTCAGTAATTTTGTTGGTGACCTCAGGCATGAGACACAGAGGCTTCAAGTTTTAACAAAGATTATAATTGTGGCTGTAGGAATCTGTTTTGTGTAACTTTTGTTCCTCTTCAAAGTTACTGTGCTGGTGAGGGTCGGGGAATAGATGAGTGAGGGCCAGTAAAAGCAGGCTTGCGGGCTATAATGCCATCAAGACATTAAAAGTAGAGATAATTTATTGAATTGTATTTTTGTTTTTGTATTAATGTATTCGACTAGTTATTTAGGCACTTCTTAATTTTCTTACTCACACCCACATGGTTTCTATTTAGATACAGTATTCTGAAGCAGGTCGAGGTTGCACATCTTATTAATGCTTAGTACTGAATATATTGTGTTTATTGTATATTTACAAGGTATGCACTGAGCCATCTTTATTAGTCCCAATACCTTTGGGCTTTGGGTTTTGGCCGATATCGAGTGCTGATCCGATACAAGTGCTTGAATAAAAGCACTGTATGCTTCACTGTGTGGAAGTGACTGGGATCACTCCTTTATGTGTAAGGCGGCATCAGACTTGACCTAAACGTTGCCTTCCTAGCTTTGTAAAACAAAATGTAGCAGTAAATACAGAGATATGCATTTACTGAATTCGTTCATTATTAAAATAATTGGTAAACTTGGTAAAAAATCTTAAAAATAAACAGGTGCAGCTGTCGCAAGTAGCTGAAGAACTTTTTGGCGTAGCGAGTGTAATCTGATGAAACATACCAAAG